GGCTGTGAGTTCAAAGCCCTGCGTTGAGCTCTGCGCTGACAACACGGAGCCTGTTTAAAATTGTCTCTCCCTCTCTCCCTCTGTCCCTACCCAACTCATGCTCTCTCTCTCTCTCAAATTAAATAAATAAACTTTAAAAAAAAAAAAAAAGGATCATTCTAGTTGTGATACAGAGAATGGATTATAGGGAATTCAAGAAAATTAGTCAGTAAACTATAGCCCAGGCAAGAATTGTGGGAACTCTGACGTGGGTGGTGGTGGTACGGGGATAAATGGATGGATTGGGGAGACTCGGTGTTGAGTTAGGTATTGGGATGGGGTGAGAAAGAGGAAAGGGTTGAAGATGGCTTCTGAGTTTCTGACATTCACAAGAGCAGCGGGAGTGGTATCATCCCCTGACATAGAGAACAAGAGAAAAATGTATCAGGCATTAGGGCAAGATCAGGAGTTCTGGTTTTGGTAGCATTGGGTTTACGGTACCTCAAGACATTCAAGTGGAGACATTTCAAGTAGGCTGCGGAATGTACTAGTAAGAGAACTGGATTAGAGATAGGAATCTGTGAGGCATCTGCATTTAGGTGTTAATTAAAGCTGTGGGTGGAGATGATAGAACGAGAAGAAGAGGCCTTGTACCCTGCCTTGAGGAATTCCCAATATTTAAATGGCCTCTTCAAGAGGGACGAGCCAAGAAGGAGCAACCAGGGAGACAGGCAGGAAAAATTAGGGTGGTGGTGAGTCACAGAGGACAGGGGAGGAGCAGTTTTAAAAGAAGGGTGTAATCAACACCTTTAAATGCTGCCAAGAGCTGACATGTACTAAAGACTGAGAATTGTGTTTCCTGGCAGGCAGGTCATTGGTGACTGGCTGAAAGCTGTAATGTACTCAGTGGAGAAGCCACATGGGATTGGGCTGGAAGTGACTAGGAAGGAGATGTGGACTGTAGCACTCACAGGTAGATGCTTTTTAGAGGCTTAATTACGGGTGGGCAGTAGCCGGGAAGGTTCTGTGTGGTTGGTCAAAGGAGAGCTTATTTGATTTTGTTAATGATTTTGGTCATATTTAAAACCTGATTGGGGGAAAAACAAGTGAGAGGGAGTTGACTAGAGAAGGAGGTGAGAAAACAGACATGTTGAGTTCCTGAGAAAGCCAGAGAGTGAGTGGAATCCAGAAGGATAAGCATAAGCAGATGCGTACAGTGGTTAGCAGATGTGGGAATGCCATTGGTGCCCCCCCCGGCCCCCCGCATCCCGCCCCACCCATAATACAGGTGACAGTGTTGTCTTCTGAGAGGGAAGAAGAGCAGGTCTAGGTTGCCTTTCATCTCAGAAATACTGTAAGTTGCTTTCTGTTTCCTTGCTTCTCTCCTCCCTATTCTTTTAAGTAGCATTATTGAGGTAACTCACACAGTTCCGTGGTTTTTAGTTTATTCACAGTGTGCAACCATGACCACAGTCGATTTTAGGACATTTCATCGCCTCAGAAAGAAACTTCATACCTTTTAACTATCACCCCCCTCCTTCTTATTTGCCTTTTGCTGTCGGAAGACAGCACAGAGTATGGTCTGGATTCAGATCTAAACTCGTGACTTCAAAGAAGAGCATTTGTAAGCTGAGGCATGTGAAAGGTTACCAAGAGCCTCACAACGGTAAGCTAGCCAGAGGAGCACAGGGGGCTGAGGCCTACTACTTAGGGTCACTGGTACAAAACCCACAGATAATACACTCCGAAAGCCTGCTGAATGGCAGGTTCCTCCCTGTCAAAGAAAATCATCTGAAGGATAAAGACGAATACAATGAAATTACAGAGGTAACACATGTACTTAGTTTGCAAGAGAACATTGACTACTGATAAATGATTTTACCTACTGGCCCCCAAAAAGTACATTTGGGGATGCTTAAAATTGATGTATTGGATGATGAACTGCGATCAGAAATCTAAGGCGTTAACAGAACAGGGTAGTAACAGCAGACTGGAAAAGTTAGAGATTCTGTTTATCATTGGTACTGAATAAGGTTTTGTATGGGATTAATAGGATGATTTTAAACATTTAGAAAAGAAAGTAGTAGTCCTTAGAAATCAACATAGGCCTAACAAAAAGATCACACCAAATTAACTTTATCTCGTTTTCTTATGTTCAGGAAATGTGGAAGAAATAGTATCCAGTTGACCCTTGAACAACACGGGGATAAGGCCACTGCCTTCCCCCCCCACACAGTCAAAAATCCATATACAACCTTGGACTCCCCCAGAACTTAACTACTAATAGCCTGCTGTTGACCAGAAGCCTTACCAATAAAATAAACAGTTAACACGTTTTGTATGTTATGTATGTTTGATGCTGTATTCTTAAAGTAAGCTAGAGAAAAGAAAATGTTACTAAGAAAATCATAAGAGAGAATACATTTATAGTACTGTCCTATAAAAGATGCGTGTGAGTGGACTAGCATAGTTCAAACCCTTTTGTGGTTCATGGGTCATATGTTTTCGTATTTTATCAAAGTATTTAACAGAAAGTCGTTTGCATATGATTTGGAAATAAGTTTATATGTAAGTCACTGAGGACCATGCCCAAAGATTATTAGTAGATTGTTACTGAAAAGAGTATGATGATTCAAAGGCATAACGGTGGGTTCCATTCAGTTATTTCCTTTTCAGTGTTGTGGTTAATGATGGAGGCCATGGGAGGTGGCCGTGTCAGATCCGCGGATGATTGCAAATATGAGAGTGATAGCTGATATGTTGGATGTCCTTCAGAGTCTAGAGCTACCTCCACAGAGGTGAATGATGGGCTGTTCATGAGGCCAAATTAAAGCCTTCATTGCAGTGTCATTCAGAGACCTGGCTTCAAATGAATTCTCTGACTTAGTTGCAGAAATTCTTGATGGTAGCCTCAGGGTACATTAACATTTGTGACATTTACAGGGAGGTTGTGGTCTAGTGTCATCTGCATCATTCCATTCTAGATGGGATTGGGACATTAGCCCCCCCCCCCCCCCCTTTCTTAAAGAACAGTTACAGAAGCTGACAGGGCGTTTTCTGGAGAAGACCAGAGATGGGCAGGCTGCCTGGAAAGAGCTCCATGGCTGTTCCCTGACTTTGGGTGTGTTCCTCCCATGCACCTGCTTATCAGTACTCCACTACAGAAGCTAATCTGTCTCCTCTCTGGTACCCTGCCCTGCAGTTTCCCAGCTGTCTCTTGACTTGTGGAGACGGCTGGTTCTGCCTGCCTTCTCCCTCCCTGTGATGTGGCCTGGAAACCCTCTCCAGGCAATAAGCTGGGGCAGGTGTGAGCCTCACTTCATTCGTTTCCCTCCTCTCAAGCATCACTGCCCTGTGCTGTCCGAAGTTCAGGGTTTAAAATTTATTGTTGCGTATAATTTCTATTTTTTCATCTTTTTCATGGAGGAAGGTAAATTGGCCGCTTGTTCCTCTGTCTTGGCCAGAAGTGGAGGCTCTTTAGTGGTTTTTTATTTATTCCTAACATTTTAGCTCTACGTTCAAAGCCCCCTTCTGTGTCATTCCCTTATTTCCCCCATGCCTTTTCTTGGACAGACCCTGTGCTCTTCCCGCTCCCTCATCCGCATCTCATGCCTCTCCTCTGTCCTCAGTCTCCTTTTCCCTCATTCTTGCTTGTCAGTGTTCCCCGTTGTCTGGTCAGCTCAGGTGCCTCTTCCGTGTTGTTTCCCTGCCAGGTGGGGCGGATTAAACTTTCCCTCCCTGTTCTGTTCCTGCTACAGTACCACTGTCGGCAGTATTCAAGGGTGCATGTTGTAACCTGCCGGCCCCTCCTCGAACACATGTGTCGGGGCCCACGTGTACACATGTCCACAGTGCTCAGCTCCCAGGTCAGGCACAGGGCTTGCACACTTTTGTGTCTTTTACATAGCTTTCTGGGCAGGTAATGTAGAGAGAAAGTGTTTAACAAGTGTAGGTATGTTTCATATATATATATATATATAT